GTAACACCTAATAATATGAAAATAATTTATTACATGTTCACCTCAGTGGACACTGGACAGCGTGCATTTGAAGTATGTTGATGGACTTACTGAAATCCACATAGAGGGTCTCAAATGCAATAAGGCACAGCTGTGCTTAATAGCAAAAACAAATAAGTAAATTACAATTTTGAGAAGCCGTTAAAATTTTTTTTCCATTTTCATTTTCTAGTTATAACCTTCAGGCCTCCATTGCTAAGATCTTATTAGCTCAGAGCACAGCTGCAGATGTTTTGATTTTCAGGCAGGCCTTGCCTCCTCTGTCTCAAATTTTCAACCCTTTTTTTTCTCTCTACCGCACTGTGCTCCCTCGCAGCATAATACATTTGTGACACGTCAGCAGTTATCAAAAAGACGTCTTCCACCAATCCTCTGATAATGTTCAGATCCTTTCCACATATACTCAATCTACACTATCATCCATATTTACTCAAAAGGTATTTTGTGAGATTTTTTTTCCCCCATTCATAGATACCACACGTACAAAGCTTTTCATACTCTCTCTCATTTATCCAGCAACAATTTAAGCAGACAACATCCAACACAACAACAAGATTTCCAGAACAATGTTTCTATTCAAGGCAAATTTCACAACCATGGACCTGCTTAACAGTCAAAAACCCAAGCCACGTACAGACAGTGTTCAGAGAATCTGTTAACACCACCTTACAGCATTCAAGGAACCTGTCAAAACCATATTCAAGGTGGACAACACCATAATTTGAATCTCAATAGTTATCGTATCGGTTTACTAAACCATCCTATTCACAGCGGACGACACCATCTACGTATTTCTTACACCAGAGTTGCATTTCTAATTTCGGCTAAAATGCAGAAAACCAAGCCAATACAGACAGCATTCAAAAGAACCAGTCAAAACCATCCTATTCACGGCGGACGACACCACTTTATTCTCTGGTCACCTAGGATTTTCTCTCTGTACCACAAAGACAAACAACAACAACAAACTTGTCTCACCGAATCTCTCTCCACTCAGGGCTTGAGTAGTTCGTGGATACGCATTCCTCCTAACGACGTCAAGGCCTCACTGACCCCCCAGCAAACTCAGTGCTGGAGGAGATTTAGGTTGTCGACAGTCCTCCGGTGTCGGCTCTTGGCGCCGCGAGGTGATGGGACCCCGGCTTGAAGGACCAAACAATGTCATGGATTTTATCAATATGTTTATCAATAACCCATTACCTATAGTGAAGAGAGAATGAGACAATGAGCAGACATGTCACACAGTTGTAACTGTGGCAAGATGCCGAAGCAAATGCCCCGAACATCTGTTCACAGACTTTATTTATAGAGAGGAAGATAAGAAAGGACGAGTGAGGTCATTGTGTGAGAGAGGGAGTCAGTGTGTGTATGAATACAAGAATGTGTGTGTGTGTGTGTGTGTGTGTGTGTGTGTGTGTGTGTGTGTGTGTGTGTGTGTGTGTGTGTGTGTGTGTGTGTGTGTGTGTGTGTGTGTGTGTGTGTGTGTGTGTGTGTGTGTGTGTGTGTGTGTGTGTGTGTGTGTGTGTGTGTGTGTGTGTGTGTGAGGATGCAGAGAGGCATAGAGCAGTATATATTACATCCAGTTGGTTGAGTCCATGATCAAGAATTAATAAACATAAATTTTTCCATAACAGGTTCCAATGAAATGTCAAGATTAAATAAAATACCCATAAAACCTCAAACACACAACCAAAAACCCACAAGAAAGACAGAAAACAGAACATTTGACTGTTCTGAAGTGGTCCTGGTCTAAATTCTGCTGGACATTCGAGCTGAAACATGCAGGTGGAAGAAGGAAGCCTTCAAACATGTTGCTTGCTCATGAAGATTAGACAAAAATACCTGTGGACGGGTGTTTAAGTCTCACTCAGAGTTACAGAAATGACTTGACTTCAGCTTTTCCACTCAGAGGCTGTAACAGTGAAACATCTGTCTCCTTTTTAGTCCTGTCTTCTGCATCTTCTACCCTCAGACCAACTAACTTCATGTCTTCTTTCACCAAATCCACAAATCTCCTATTTGCTATTTATCCGAGCCACAACCTTGATGTCTCTCTTCTGGACATGTCTAAACCATCTTAGTCTGGCGTCTCTGACTTTATCTCCAAAACATCTGACATGAGCTGGTCCTCTGATGTCCTCATTATAGTAATTGAGCATAGTCTGATACAATTGGTTTGTTTGGTGATGTGTGATGTCTCATTTGTATCATCTCAACTGCAGGCTGATAAAAGATGGTTATTAGTTCTGCAAAGTAGTTTTAATAGTTATTAATCAACTTTAGGAATGTTTCATCAGTTTCATGTTCTTTCTCTGGAGATAGATTCTGAGCTCATGGAGTTCGTCACATGAAAGCAAGAGGTCATAATATTAACTTGTGTTCCGATGCCACACATGCAAACTATATCCTAACTAAATAGCTAACGTAGAGGAACTTATCAGCACATTCAGAGGCACTGAGGCGTTTAAGGGCAAGAGTTGGTACTTGCTGACATTGAAGGCTTCTTGATGCTTTCCTGGAGTTAGAACAGCAACTTGACCAACAGGTTTATTAGTAAACCAGTTCTAACTGTTGCTGCGCGTGCTGTTTGGAGTGAATTTCTATACAGTCTAATCAGTGATTAAAAAAACTGGTTTTCCATGATGAGAAATCCTATTCCACAGAATTCAAACAGATGAAAGAAATACAGAAACAGCTCAGTGGGAGTTTTTCCACCACCCGGTTCTTTTAGACCTGCTGCTGCCTTTGAGATTCTGGATCTCAAACAGGTTGATGATATTAGAGACTTTTGTCCTGATTTCATCCAACATGACAAACAAGAAGTTTTCAGTTCACTTAAAGGAATGTTCCTCTACTGTAGCTCTTCTAACTTGTGGGGTTCCTCAGGGGTCTGTTTTAGGACCACACATTTTTTAATTTCTTGCCTCTGGGGTCCATTTTCAGGAAGTATAACTTCCTGGCTGGTTGCTGATGATATTCAAATGAATCTGCTTAATAGACTGTTTAAAATATCCATCAAATACTTTGATTCGCTTATGCAGGGGTGGGTCGCAGGGGCAGCAACCTAAGCAGAAAGGCCCAGACTTCTCTCTCCCCGGCCACTTGGACCAGCTCCTCTGGGGGAATCCCAAGGCGTCCCCTGGCCAACCAAGAGCCAAACATCCCTCCAGCGTGTCCTGGGGCTTTCTTTGGCTCTCCTCCCGGTTGGGCATGCCAGGAAAAACCTCTCCAGGGAGGTGTCCAGGAGGCATCCTGACAAGATGCCCGAGCCACCTCAAATGGCTCCTCTTGATGTGGAGGAGCAGCAGATCTACTCCACGCTCCTCCCAGATGGCCAAGCTTCTCACCCTATCTCTAAGGGAGAGCCCAGCCACCCTGTGGAGAAAACTGATTTTGGCCGCTTGTATCCGTGATCTCATTCTTTCGGACACTACCCAAAGCTCGTGACCATAAGTGAGGGTAGGAACGGAGATCAACCAGAAAATCGAAAGCTTCGCCTTCCAGCTCATCTCTCTCTTTACCATGACAGACTGACACAATGCCTGTAGCACTGCAGACACACCAGTCTGCCTATCAATCTCATGCTCCATTTTTCCCTCACTCAGGAACAAGACCCCAAGATACTCGGATGGCCTCGGATTTAGAGCATGGAAGCTGTGTTCCTTCACCCTGGCCACCCTCTGGAGCCAGACCTGGAGATAGGGCACGTTGGCAAGCGCCTGGTGGCCGGGCTTTTACCCATGGAGCCCGGCCAGGCACAGCCTGAAGAGGAGATGTAGGTTCCTCTTTCCATGAGCTCACCACTCATGGGAGGGGCCAAAGGGTTCGGGTGCATTGTGTGTTGGGTGGTAGCCAAAGGCAGGGGGACCTTGGCGGTCTGATCCTGGGCTACGAAAGCTTGCTCTTGATAACTAGTTCCCTTTGTCTCCTATATGCAAATTTAATCTTAAGAATGATTGGGCTGTTACAAAAGCAGCTCCATATCTGTAGGATCATTTGTTTAGGCTGAGTATAAGAACAATGCTGATGTTTATTTTCTGTTGGGATTTTATTTCACCTTTATTTGTTCTTTTACCATATTTAAAATGTCGTAGATTTTTATTTTTGTATTTGAAAGTTTTATTTTTGTGAAGTGTAAAGCTCTTTGTTAAATTTAACAGTAAATATTGATAGAGAGCTCTTAAGCAGGGAGACAAAGTCAGTAAATTGGCTTTGCTTACTCGAGATGCAACAAAAATGTGTGTATTATTACTCGTTAAACACACTTAAATTTGGATATATTTGGAGGAAAATTATCTGGGACTAATTTTGGAGTTCAGACTAAATCCTTATTTCTATGTCCCTTATGCTGTATATTTTTAGAAACACAATTATGTATTTTTTATCCGTAGTTCTAATTGCTGAAGGTTATAATGATAGCTTACTGTTAATGTGTGTTTTTGTTAGTTTTATTCTTCCTTTTCTCTAAGTGTAAGTGCCGCTGCAACGAGTGAGTTTCCCATTGGGAATAATAAAGTCTGTTCTATTCTATTATATTCAATTCATGGGGTGACATACAGTGTCTGGCCACCAGGTGCCACTAGAGGTGAGTTTATAATGTTACTGAGGTAAAAAAAATATATATACATAAATACTTGAATTATATATTTTTTGGCTGTAAAAAGTAACCTAACAACATGGAGGTGGCTCTGTTACATTATGACTCCTGTAGACTCACAACAACATGAGACATTTTAAAAATGACAAGTTGATTTATCAAAATACATGTTATTCCTCTTCCTTCATGGTGGTTGGAAAGAAACACAATTTGAGGATAAAGTAAAACAACATAATCAACAGACAACTGTAATTATTATCACCCAGTCAACAAGCAAGTTAAACATTGGCCCCTGTGCTGCCTGCTGTCTCATGACCGGAGTGAAACAAAAGGCGTGTTCTCCCTCAGCTGAGTATTTAAACTCACTTCCAGCAGACTTCCCCTCATTTCAGGCCTCTACTCCCCACCTCCTCAGCTCCTCAGACGGCTTCCAGCTCCCTGAAGCCCCCCTGGTCTAACCTTCTCCACCTGAAAACAGGATCCATCAACACCCAGAGGGGAAAAAAAACATCAGTTGCCTGGTATGGGACACTTATTTGACTTGTTTCATTAAATCCTCCTTTTGTTATTTATTTCCTCAGTTGCGTTATGTAACATTAACTAAGGAGATTAGGAAACAACCAGTTTTCATCACTATGGTGAGCTGTTTCTTAATGAGTTAACTCTGCTCAATAAATTTCTTTTGGAGGTTTCCTGTAGATTTGTCTAGTTTTGATGAATGAACTGTATAATACTACATTTACATGTGCCAGAGGGAGAAAAACGATGCATTCGTGATGCACAAATAATATGGTGGTGGTGGTATAAGAGGTCACAAGAGAAATCTGGAAACACCTGAGACAAAATCGGGGACCGAAGCTTTTATTTTGGTAAATTTTAACATAATTTGAGAAAAGGTCAATCTTTTAAACAGTTTTACTTTTGTGCTTTTCCGCACGTGCAAGTCAATGAGATTTTTTTATTATTTATCATCTTCTGAGCAGACTAAACTGCAAGAAAATATCTCTTTAAATCCGGATTTTCTCTCTTTCTCACACACCTAGCTGTGTTGCAGCGATGTAACCGCTCTCCTTCTTATTTTCCTGAAACTTTATCTTTGAAATGAAATCTATGCACCAAATGTTGAGTACCCTGAGAACAACAAAGAAAAGGCCATCCAGTAAATCACGAGTGTATAATCGTGCTGAACCTGTCAGACTGTGTTATTTATTAGGAATCATTAAAAGCTTCTGCACCATAATTTATACACATCTGAATGCATTTAGGAGCTCAGACACTTTACAACCTATTAACTCCTTATATTTTTGTCTCTTTCTTGTTGGTTTATTTTGTTTGTTTGTTTGTTTTTTTGTTTTTTTAGCTTTTTTACATCAAACAGAAAAGTTTCTCTCACCAGTCTAATGAAGCATGTTTATCAGACACTCCTCTCTGCCATATGTCAGTAAACCGTGGTGGTGTATGCTGTTTGGCTCTTGTTGGGTGGTTTAGGTTTGGTAATGTGTAATCAGATCAGTGTTTGAAGAATAAATATTACCCTCTAACTTGTGTATTTCTGTGTTTTTGCAGCGTGAATCGTCCGAGGTTAACCATCAGAATGGATCCTTCTCCCATTTTTATACCCTGTCATTCTACGATGAAGCTCACAGAAAAACCGAGGATAGCTAGCTAGCAATAAATCTAACCTCTTTTATTCCCTCTTACACTTTTATGAGGGCTTGTTTACTTCTTTTGTTGACAGATTTTTATTTATAAGTATTTATCATATCAGAAACCACCATCAGGCAGCAATTTGATTTAGGTAGTTTACAATCAGAGGATACTGTACGCAGTGATGGACGCATCAACACCTGTGACCCTGGCTGCTGCCACCACAGCAGCTCTGGCCCAGTCAAACCTGTCTGACTACATCTGGCTGCTGGTTATTGGCTTCATCATTGCTTTCATCCTGGCCTTCTCTGTGGGGGCCAACGATGTGGCAAACTCCTTCGGAACGGCGGTGGGCTCCGGGGTGGTCACTTTGCGGCAGGCCTGCATCTTGGCCACCATCTTTGAGACTGTGGGTTCAGTTCTGCTTGGGGCCAAAGTGAGTGAGACCATCAGGCAGGGCATCATCGATGTGAGGATGTATAACGGCTCCGAACACGTCCTGATGGCGGGATCCATAAGTGCCATGTTTGGTGAGTTTACAAACATGGCTTCTTGTTCTGCTCTGGTTTAACCTCTGATCATAACCTCTGCTCGTTTTTCTCCTGCAGGTTCTGCTGTGTGGCAGCTGGCTGCATCATTCCTCAAACTCCCTATTTCTGGAACCCACTGCATTGTTGGAGCAACAATCGGGTTTTCCATGGTGGCGAGAGGCCACCAAGGGGTCAAATGGATGGAGCTACTCCGCATCGGTGAATACATTTTGTTCCTCCTCGTGTGTCAAACAAGGATCTGTGAAATCAGACATTAAGGAGTATGTTAACAGAGATTAATACACTTTTTATGAATATTTTGTCCACAGTGGCATCCTGGTTCCTGTCACCTGTTCTGTCAGGAATCATGTCAGGAATTTTATTCTTTTTTGTTCGTAAATTTATTCTGAACAAGGTGAGCCACAAGAAAAAGTTGATAACGTTTTACTTATGTGGAAATCAGTTATTTAATCTCAGCATAAACCACTACTAACATGAGACACACACACACACATACAAACATACACACACGCACGCACACACACACACACACACACACACATACAAACATGCACGCATGCACACACACACATGCACACACACACACACACACAGACACACGCACACACACACACACACACACACACACACGCACATGCATGCACACAAGGACATGCACACACCTTCTCTCTCTCCATCTCTCTCTCTCCCTTCCTTTCCCACTCCCTCTCTATCCCCCCCCCCCCCCCCCGTCTCTCCCTCTTCCTATCCCTCCCTCTCTCCGTTTCTCCCCTTCTCCCTCGCTCTCCCTCTCTTGCCTTCTCTCTTTTCCGTATCCCTTCCTCTGTCTCTCTCCTACTCCCCCCCCCTCTCTCAGCTGTATTATAATGATGTAACTAGTTTGCAAAATGCCCAATTCATAAAACATACTTGAAGCAAAGAATGAGCGGTGCTAACCTCAGACATGTCTGACTAATTTAACGAGAGAGAAAGGAGGAAAAAGGACATTCGTAACTTGTGTCTGAAATGTGACTCCTTGTCAAAACTCTTTTTCGATCTAAACCTGATCCTTCCTGAAATTTTACTCCAGTTACCACCTAATTATTATGTAAAATGTTTATTATAAAAAAGGTAATTAGTTAACCAAGTTCGATTGATTATTTCACATTTAGTGTTATTTATGAAAATTAAATATTACTGTAAGACCAGCCGGTCTTAGTTTTGTTTTAAGCTTTTTTAGCTAGGAAGTAAAAAAGTAAACAACATTTGTAAAACTCTGCTATTAAGCTTCATATTTCATTCTTTATTAAGAAATAATCCAAGTAGTACACATTTAAACTCCTGCTGGAGCTCAGTTAATTGACCCGAGTGTTTTCCACAGACCGACCCTGTACCAAATGGACTGAGAGCGCTCCCTGTCTTCTATGCCATCACGATGGGCATCAACCTGTTCTCCATCATGTTTACAGGAGCTCCATGTGAGTCACATTTTAAGACCTTTACTTTATTAAATGCATTGAACAACCTCAGCATCTGGTACAATCTCTTCAGCAAAAACAAAATGTAAAAAGTGTCACAAAAACAGCTACAGAATAAATAAAACATTTGTGAGATGATGGGAGGCAAAAGTAGGAGACTAATATCGAGGAAAGTATTTGAAAACTTTAAAAAATGTCTAACTGGTCTTGGACAATTTTCGCCACAAATATTTGTTTAAATTGCAAAAAATATGTATATATCATCAAGAGGATATTATGGAAAGAACTTGTCACATTAATTGTAGATACAAGTTTTTATTTCCTTATGAACTGACAGGAATTAATTACATTTTATTTATCTAAAAGAACCTTTCATCTAAAAATGCAGTTATCTCACAGGACACCTTAAAACATCCTGCTCCGTTAACAGTGTCTGAGGCCAGTCCTGACTAAACGATCAGTTACACCCTTTAAGCTGCAGCTGTCCAACACACTCAAATGAGACGCTGGTTTAATTCAAGCTGTAAACTTTTAGCTTTGGCTTAGCTACCCGATGCCTATGTTATAAAGAAAAAGTGAAATGACTGAAATATTGTCCATGAGAACGTTTATCTCTGTGCTGCAAGACGCGCCTCTTCCTCAGTATCTGATGGGAGGAGGGCGTATTGTCACTGATACAGTTTTACCAAAGAACACACTCAGGAGATGAGCAGGCTGTTAGCATAACGTTGTATAAAGTCTGTATGAATCACATGACCACATCTTGAAAATATAATTCATAACATTTGGAGTCATAAGATGACGTCATTCTTCTGGTGGTCGGTTGGTTGGTGTGTAAACACTGGCAGTTTGTTTTCTCAGCTTTTTTTAGCGCTACATAAGAGAGGAATAAATTAAACCTGTGTGTGTGTGTGTGTGTGTGTGTGTGTGTGTGTGTGTGTGTGTGTGTGTGTGTGTGTGTGTGTGTGTGTGTGTGTGTGTGTGTGTGTGTGTATGTGTGTGTGTGTGTGTGTGTGTGTGTGTGTGTGTGTTACAGTGCTGGGTTTTGACAGAGTGCCATGGTGGGGTACACTCTGTATTTCTCTGGGCTTTGCCTTCGTCACAGCTTTGGTGGTTTGGTTTGCCGTCTGTCCACGCCTCAAGAAGAAAATCAAACGTGAGTAATGGTGACACTTTCAGGTATTTTATTTTTAAAGTAACAAATGACAAATACATTATTTGAGGTTTTACCGAAATTATAAAAGTCTTTTGTAGAATATTTAAGTAGAATAGCTGTTGTAGTTTTGTCTGCAATCTGATTTAACCCCCATTTAATCAGATTTAAATCTCATTTAAACTCTTTTTTAACTTTAAAAGTTAGACATTTTTTTACTTCAGCTGAAACGGCCATGACTGAGCCTGCATACCTCTGATTTATTACACGGCTTATTTACAATGATGACAACGAAAGGTTTTATAACCAGTTGTAGAAAAGCCTTTTGACACGGTTTCTGTGAAAATGTTTTGAACTGTCATTCGTGTATTTGCAGATACGTCTCTGAATGACATCAGTTTGGGAAAAGCGAGATTAGTTTGAACTGGATTAATGAGCTCACAGCTAGTCTGAATTGGACCTTTTCCAGGTGGATCAAACTACTCAAATATTTTAGTTATTATAAAAATGCTGACATTGCCTTGAATCCAGAATTACACCGTTTTTTTACATATATTTGTAAATAGGGTTGCACAATATCGGCAAATATCGGTCATTGGCCATTACAGGGATATTAATATCGAATATCGGTGTCGTCCCAAAAATTTCATACCAGTGCATCACTATTTATAAGGTTATTTGAAGTAATGCAAACTTTCTGCTAAGTTTGTAGATTTCCAGTTCAAATCATTCTGCTGGTTTTCAGTGATGTTGGTTGCAACGTAAAGTTAAATACAAAGAGTGTTTTACTGAACTAGTGGTTGAATATTGGTGCTGGGGTTGTTTTAAGGTTGCCACAAACCACTTTGGTCTTATCTTCACTAACTAGCTTTTAGCTCATCGATCCAATCACAAAAAGACAATCTAAACTATTTAATATATTAATTGTTCATCACTTTCTACATAAATCTACTATTAATTATCTAAACGATCAGTTTAAGTAGGAAAATCTGCTTAGTCATCGTTACCTGCATGTTTATCTTTAACTCCAGGAACATTTGCAGGTACAGTACGTCACATTACAGAAAACTTCAGTCTGGTTTTCAAATGGCCCAAAACACAGTGATGGTTCTCCTTAGAGTTTTAAATAATCTACTTTTAATCTCAGATTCAGGTGACTGTGCAATGGTAATTTTGTTGGACCTGACATCTGCATTCAGTATTCATGAGATTCCTTTTTTATTGTCTGGACCAGGTCGGCCTGAAAGATGCAGTTCTGAACTGGTTTCATTCCTACCTGTCTGATCGAACCTTTTCTTTTCATTTGGGATGATTATCTTACTCTGATGTCCCATTAAAATGTGAGGTTCCTCAAGGCTCCATTTTGGGTCCAGTACTATTTTCATTTTATCTGGACCTTGGAGGCAATTTTTAGAAAATTTAAAGTGTCTTTTCATTGTTTTGCAGATGACTTACAAATCTATATCTGCTTGAAGGTTAGAGGAAGTCAGTCTGTGCAGAATTCAATTGCCTATGTAGCTGAGATTAAATCTTGGATGGCAATGAACTTCTTACATTTGAATCAGGATAAGACTAAGGTTATTGTCTTAGGCAAGGCTGACTTGCTGCTGGAATAATGCAACCCTACTGGCCTTTTGGACACTTTTGTCAGTGTGTTTGCTCAGAACCTTGGAGTGAAATTTGATAACAAGTTCAAATTTGACAAACATATTAGTGCAGTAGTTCATTCCAGCTCTTACCAGCTAAGGTTCATTGGTAAAATCAAGCCTTATTTACCACACACTGGTCCTGAAATGGTGATTAATGCCCTCATTACCTCAAGACTTGGTGATCGCAAATCTCTCCATGCTGGATTAGACAACTCTTTGTTACGTTGTTTGCAGCTTATTCAAATGCTGCTGCCCACATCCTATCAGAAAGAAAACAACGTAATCATATCACTCCAATTTTGTCTTCCCTGCGCTGGTTGCCAATTCATTTTAGGGTTAATTTTAAGATTTTAATTATTGCTTTTATATTTGAATGGCCTCACACCCTCTTGCCTGTCTGAACTTTTGCACCATTCTCAGCTGCTTCTCAGTCATGATTCTCGGTTGTGGTGTTGTGGGATCTGCAGTTGTGGTTGTCTTCCAAACTGTCTCTGCATGCTACTGGACAACAAACAACATGAAATACACACCGCTACAGATGTCAGTCAATAGGGCAGTCCACCATGCACCATCGAAGACACAAATACATCCTTTTTCTAGTTAAAGAACTAAAAGAGCAAGTCACCCCCAAATAAACTTTTTTTTGCTGATAAACTAAATAAACGAGTGTCTAATCGTGCTGAAGACACGTGTCGTCAATAATTTGGCACTTCAGTGCATCTTAGTTAAAATTTAAATATTCTGCCTAAAACTGGCAGTGTTCTGCCGTTGTCAGGTAAAAACTCTGCACTGTATTTGAATTTAAATCTGCCACCGCTATTGGCTAAGAGGTATGCTATGATGTAAACTGGTGCATTATGATGTCACAGTGCTGTCGTGAGCCTGTGTGTGTGTGTGTATTTTTTAGCAGCTCCGCCCTCTCGGTCTGCTAGGCAACAGCATTTATTCCATTTTTCAAACTTGAAGTGGGAGTGGAATTACCCCCAAATTCCACTACCTCCGCTCCGCTCCGACACGAACGCCGGAGCAAAATCAGTCCAGTTGTAGTCAATCAGAGCAATTCCACTACTGCGGCCGTGCTCCGGCAGTGCGACGCCGTGCGCCGCCCTCTGTTCCGGCGTCCGGCAAAAATAGAATCGATCCTATTTTTGCCGGACGCCGGAGCACCTCCGCAGTAAATGGACAGAAATCACAACTGCCCAACAGGAAAAGGAGGAAGCACAACTTCCGTTTTTCACAATAAATCGATAAACAAAAGGCGTTTTTTGTTTCATATGCACAGGTTTAACAACTTTTAACAACTATCAATGGCAGCTGAAGTTTAAATGCACAAAAATAAGCCATAAATACAGTTTTCACTATCAAAGTAGTCACACTTTGTTGATCCAAACACTGCTGATCTCTCAACACAAATGATGGGCAGATTAAACAGTTCATGCCGATGCTTCTCCCACACAACGGGTGTTTGGATCTAACTTCCGCGTTTATTGCTCGGACTGTATCACAAGATCTCGAAAATCCCGCGCATTCTTGTTTGCCCACCTCAGGTCTCCGCACCGGAGCGGAGCCGTTGTAGAGCGGGTACCAGTAATAATTGAGTTCGGAAGCGAGCGGCTGCAGAAGGCGTGGGCGGAACGGAGCGGAGCGGAGGTAGTGGAATTTGGGGGTTAGACTCTGATAGGGGGTCACTTGCTCTTTAAGTACCTCTATCTGCTTATGAATTTTAAAAAAAGCCCAAGTTTAAATAATCCAAATTTGATGCTAAAGCCCATTCAAAGGAGCCAATGCTATCTTAGTTGCTTTGCTCAGTCACATCATCCCGCCCACCAATTTGATAAAACACTGGTTTTGGCCCACCAAACCGATAGAGCGCTGTGATTGGCCCACCAAACCAATAGAGCGCTGTGATTGGCCCACAAAACTGATAGAGCGCTGTGATTAGCAAGGCACAAGACTGTTTGCGTCTGCTGAGGTTCTAATGGAGCATGGCTTGACCAAAATGTAGAGTAAAATAATTTTGCTTCGGAAGAAGAAGAAGAAGAAGAAGAAGAAGAAAGTATCATTTCTATAGCGCCTCTCAAGATAAAAATCACGAGGCGCTTCACAAAAACAAAAAATGTAAAAATATTAAAAAGCATTTAGAAAATGTTTAAAAATATATGTAAAATGAGCAAAAAGAGACAATTGTGATTTAAAAAATTGTTAAGAAAGAGAGAGAGAGTAGGAAAAAGGGAAATCGGTGGTTCCTGTGGAAGGTGGAATAGGTGGGGAGAGCAGAATAAAGAGAGAGTGGTGAAGAAGGTTATACAAACCCAGCTTGAACAAGTGAGTTTTCAGCTGCTTTTTAAAGGAGACCACTGAGTCCACTGATCTCAGGCTCAGGGGGAGAGAGTTCCAGAGTCTGGGGGACACAGCAGCAAATGATCTGTCACCTTTGGTCTTTAGCCTGGTGCTGCACAACCAGTAGGCTTTGATCACTGGACCTCAGGGACCTGCTGGGGGTGTAGGGACTAAGAAGATCACCAATGTAAGATGGTGCTTGTCCATGTAAGGCCCTATAGACCAGAACCAGGATCTTGAAATTAACCCTGAAGTTGATTGGCAGCCAGTGAAGCTGGAGGAGAAGCGGGGTGATGTGGGTGTGTTCGGAGGACTTGGTCAGAAGCCGAGCACAGGCATTCTGAACCACCTGTAGACGGTTCAGGGAGGTTCTGCTCAGACACGTGAAAAGAGAGTTGCAGTAGTCTAAGCGTGAGGAGATGAAGGTGTGGAGAACTGTCTCATGTTCAGAGCGGGACAGAATGGGACTCAGCTTAGCAACGTTCCTGAGATGGAAGAAGGAAGAGCGAACAAGAGATCTGACATGAGAATCCAGGGTGAGAGCTGGGTCAAAGGTCACACCAAGATTCCTGACAGAAGGTTTGGTGTGGGAAGCAAGCTGACCAAGAGAGTCTCTGACTTTGGGAACCAGCTTGTCTGGGGCACAGATTAGGATCTCAGTCTTATCTTCATTCAGCTGAAGAAAGCTCCCAGCCATCCAGGTTTTGATAGAGTCTAAGCAGGTGTGTAACAGCTGCAGCTTAGACATCTCATGGGGCTTCAAGGAGATGTACAGTTGGATGTCATCTGCATAAAGATGGTAGGAGATTCCTTTGAAGGAGCTCAGGATGTGCTGAAGAGGGAGCAGATAGAGGAGAAAAAGCAGAGGCCCCAGCACAGAACCTTGTGGGACACCATGGGTAAGAGAGGTGGTGGAGGACCTAAACTTGGAGACGGCCACAGAAAAGGAACGCTCAGAAAGATAAGAGGAGAACCACTCCAGAGCAGATCCTGATGGGCCTACCCAGTCTCTCAGCCTCTCCAGTAGCAGGTGATGGTCAACAGTGTCAAAGGCTGCAGTTAGGTCCAGCAAGACCAGAACAGAACAATCCCCTGCATCACTGTGAGTCAGAAGGTCATTAGAGACCCTAAGAAGAGCTGTTTCAGTAGAATGAGCTCTATGAAAACCTGACTGGAAGCTATCATAGATGCTATGTTCATCAAGAGCAGCTGTGAGTTGTTTAGCCACAACCTTTTCCAAGATCTTGGAGATGAACGGAAGTTTAGAGATGGGACTGAAGCTGCTATGGAGAGAGGGGTCAAGACTCAGTTTTTTAAGAAGCGGGTGGATTACAGCATTCTTAAAGTAAGCAGGGACTTGACCAGAAACCAGAGAAGCATTAATTATAGAGAGCACGCTGGGACCGATGGACAGAAAAGCACTTTTAAACAAAGATGAGGGTAAGATGTCGAGGGGGCATGCAGAGGTCTTCATAGAGTTAACTAGTTTGGTTAACTCAGGCAAAGAAACAGGAGCAAAGCTATCTAGAATGATGGGCCTCATTGTAGTCGGGAGAGGCAGCGATAAGGCTGAAGGAGAGATGCTAGATCTAACCTTATTGACTTTGTCCACAAAGAAAGACAGAAAGTTCTCACAGTCTGTAACAGAGTGGATGGAGGCTGTAGGAGAGGCAGGAGAGACGATGCTGCTGATGGTGTTAAACAGCACCTTGGGGTTCCCTTTGCTATGGGACACCAGGTTGGAGAAATAGGAAACCCTGGCATCTCTGACTGCAGAGTTAAAGGATGTCAGATGATCCTTTAGGTGCAGCAGATGGACGTGGAGATGGGTTTTCTTCAACAAACGCTCAATTTTTCTGCATTGGCGCTTCAGGCTACGAAGGCTGTCATTAAACCAGGGAGTAGGGTTCACTGCAGGAACTGATCTGGTTCTGACAGGACAGATGTTGTCCAGAATGGAGAGGCAGTGCTCGTTAAACTGAGAAGTTAAGCAATCTGGGTCGTTATCAGAAGAACAGGGTGGATCAAAAGCAGCAGAAAAATTTCTACCTGTGCTCTCATTAAGAAAACGAGAACTAACCATACGGCGAACAGGAGGCCACTGTCTGTCTAGATTTCTAGATGTTCCTAGCTTTTGTCTCATAACCCGGGGCGACAGAGCCTTTTCTGTAGCCACTCACATATTATGGAACATCCTTCCTCTTGATATAGATGGCCAGTTGGCTGGATGATACTAAATCAATTCTTTTTAAATTGGCTTTTTACTCCAGCTGATCATAAACTGCCAAGTCATGTTCATATTATTATTATTATTATTATTATTATTATTATTATTATTATTATTATTATTATTAGGTGAGTGCTTGTGACCTTACTGTATTCTTCCTCAGGAGAAACAGCCGCTACTCCCTGTGAAACTCCGCTAATGGAGAAGAACTCCAGTAAACCTGCTATGGAGGAGCAAACTCAAGTCCCTTCTGAGCCTCCATCCCAGACCCCTCCAGCTGATGGTCAGAAGGCAGCTTTCAAACTTGGAGGCTCAGAGGAAGCTGATCTAAACCTTGACTTAGAAGCCAAAGACCTGGATATTCCTAATGGTGAGAAATCACCATGAGCGTGAAATGAAGAAATGAATCCTCTAACTCAGGACTGGGGAACCCTGGTCCTCGAGGGCCGGTATCCTGCATGTCTTTGCGCCAACATTTCTGATTCAGCGGTTGAATCACCTGTGCAGCAGCTCATCAAGCTCTGCAGAATCCTGCCAATCACCTGCTGATTGAAATCAGGTGTGTTGAAGCAGGGTTGAAACAAAAATATGCTGGATAGTGGCCCTCGATGGACAAGGGTTCCCCACCCCTGCTCTAACTTGCCCAGTACCTGAATAATTGATCAAAAGTGTGTTTTTCCAGGTCTGAATGGGACTGTTTGTCATATGACCATCACCGATCCCCACAGTGGTCGCTCCCACACCATCCACAAAGACTCTGGCCTTTACAAAGACCTGCTGCACAAGCTCCACAAGGCCAAGGTTGGTGACTGCATTGGCGACAGCGACACGGAGGAGCGTCCCCTTAGGAGGAACAACAGCTACACCTCCTACACCATGGCCATCTATGGGATTCAGGCAGACCCTAAATACAAAGATGTGGATGCAGGACTGCAGAGGAGGTCTCGAGTGGACAGTTACAGCAGCTACAGCTCAGCCATGACCAGCGGGAGTGTAGTCCCAGATGGGAGTGTGATCCAAGAGGCAGGCGGGGACATCGATCCAGAGGAGGACGAGCTGGAGATTGACCAATCTGCTGTTGCTTTGCTTTTCCAGTTTTTGCAGATACTCACGGCATGCTTTGGCTCTTTTGCTCATGGAGGAAATGATGTCAGGTAGGCAGCGAGGAGATAGATGTTTGGTGAGTTTGATTATATGTGATCATTGAGTCTAGTAAGATTTAATTTGTAATCACCAGCAATGCAATTGGCCCCCTGGTGGCTCTCTGGCTTCTCTATGAGAGTGGCTCAGTGGTGTCCACCTCACCCACACCCATCTGGCTGCTTCTCTATGGTGGGGTAGGAATCTGTGCTGGACTCTGGGTCTGGGGTCGGAGGGTGATCCAGACTATGGGAAAAGACCTGACCCCTATCACACCTTCGAGGTATGCTACAGATCTTCAACTCATCTCAGATAAAATATCTGATCTCATTATCAGACTGTGCTGTCTTTCTCCTCTGATCCAGTGGATTCAGCATTGAGCTGGCTTCAGCTGTCACTGTTGTTGTGGCGTCTAACGTTGGTCTTCCTGTCAGCACAACCCATTGCAAGGTACCAAACCGTACAGCTCTGATATTCACCTACGGATGGATCCATGTGTTAACCCAGAGAAAGCTGAGTTTTGAGGAGCACTAACATTGCTTTGCTTGCAGGTGGGATCTGTGGTGGCTGTGGGATGGCTGCGCTCCAGGAAATCAGTTGACTGGCATCTGTTCAGAAATATCTTCATCGCCTGGTTCGTCACAGTTCCTATCTCTGGGCTCATCAGTGCTGCCATTATGGCTCTCTTCATATATGTTATCCTGTGAGCTTCCCGCTTTTCACATGTCATTACAAAAGTTGTCCTCGTTCAAAACGTTTAATTAATTTGTTTCTTAATTTAGGTCAGTTATTTATCTCACTTAGATGTGTTCATGAATCACAGGCTCTATCAACTCGGCTGTATATATTTGTGTATATTTGTAAAAAAGGATATTTGCGTTAATCAAACGGACATGTCTTGAGGGGTTTTTTGGATTAAAAAAGTTTAAAGTGTGTGTGTGTGTGTGTGTGTGTGTGTGTGTGTGTGTGTGTGTGTGTGTGTGTGTGTGTGTGTGTGTGTGTGTGTGTGTGTGTGTGTGTGTGTGTGTGTGTGTGTGTGTGTGTGTGTGTGTGTGTGTGTGTGTGTGTGTGTGTGTGTGTGTAAAATATGTGAAAGATGATGAACAGCAAGCATAGACTCTGGTGATGCTCAATCTCAGTGCAGCTTTCTACACTGTAGACCACAACATCCTTCTTGATTGGCTCATAAACTGGGTGGGATTATATGGCAGGTTACGTGTATGTAATTCAGGTCACATGTCAGAAACAGAGGTAATGTAGTTTTGATTGGACGATTACAAATTAAAGCAGATCACCTATGCATGAGGGGTTTCCCATTGTTCAATTTATGGACTACTGCTCTTTTATCTCTATATGCTATCTGGGTCAGGTCATACAACAACATGGCTTGTTTTGCAGATGACACCCAGATCTACATAGCTCTGTCACTTAATGACTGTGGTCCCCTAGACTCTCTCTGTCAATGTTTGGAGCAAGTTAATGACTGGATGCAGTCAGGCTTTCTTCATTTAACCCTCTGGTGGCAGGCATTGCAGATTGCATTAATTAAAGCCTACCTACCTGGTTAATCCACGTATGTAGTTCATGAGCATTTTTTTAACTCAGAAGTACCCTTGAAGGACTTAGTTGTTCGTCCTTTTATCAAAACTTATTTTGAGCCTGAGAGGGTTAAGACTGTAACTAGATCAGCGTTTTAACGTCTGCATCAAATAGCAAGACTCAGAGGTCTCATGTCCAGACAAGACCTATAAAAAATCATTCATGCGTTCATCTCCAGCAGGCTGGACTATTGTAATGGGACAGCAGTAGCTCAGGTGGTAGAGTGGGTTGCCTCATGATCGGAGGGTCATGGGTTTGATTCCAGCTCCCTCCAGGGGTATTCTACTGTTGTGTCCTTGGGCAAGACACTTCACCCAACTTGCCTGTGTTGGTGGTGGACAGAGGGGCCGACAGCGCCAAATGGCAGCCTCGCCTCTGTCAGACCGTCCCAGGGCGGCTGTGGCTACAAAGTAGCTTACCATCACTAGCAGTGTGTGAATGTGAGAGTGTGTGAAAGCGTCTTTGAGTGTCCTGAAAAGCACTATATAAGTTCAATGCATTATTATTATTATTATTATTATTATTATTATTAATGGTCTTTTGACTGGCCTTTCCAAAAAAGCTGTGAAGAGACTGCAGTTTTATCAGAATGCTGCTGCTACAGTCTCAATAAGAACCAAAAACATCACTCCTGTTCTTAAATCTCTGGTTACCAGTAAACTACAGGATCGATTTCAAAGTGCTACTGCTAGTTTATAAATCCCCCAATGGCATGGTGGGACCAAAATATGTCGGATCTCCTTGCACTGTAGGGAGCCTAAGTCACGCCCATCTACTTCCACATCACGGGTCCCTGGAAGAACGACAAATGAACGCAAGTCAACAGGGCTAAAAACGCTATTTTCTAATTCCGCTTGTAATGTGCCATGGATTTCACACAGGATGTCCGTGAATTTTAAAGGCACATTTTGTTGTCAAGAAAGCACTTATTCTCGAACAGGGGGACACATTATTTTAGGTTTTGTGTGAGAATAAGTCCAGGACCACAAATGCGCTTCACGAAAGTGACGTCATCGAACCCGACACAGAGAAAACAGGGAAAATGGCTGTAAGTTCAGCAAACTTCAAATCCGTCTTTCAGAAGGAAAAAATAACCCATAAATCTGCCCATTTGGTAAATAGCAGCTATGTTAGGGGAGAGAAGATTCTGTGGTGACGTCATATATGCAAAGTGCAGACGTCTGATTTGTGGTCATGCTAATTACAAACTTTTACAAGATGATAAATCTCAAAGTGTGTGACAGACATGGTCAAAGCACCCATCATTAGATTTCATTTAAACTACAATACAACATCCAGGACCTAAAGCAATGCGGATTAAGAGCTGTTTTAGCTCTGTTGACTTGATTCTTCTTTTTTTTTTCGTTCTTTCGGGGACCCATGAGCCGACCGAAAAAGGAGGAGACTCCCTAAACACCCAGCAGGCTCTTGGTCAGAATCAAACAGGGTGAAGCTACTTTTAGTTACTCGGCTGCACACCGGTGGAATCAGGTTCTTTATGACCATAGATGTGTCTCAACTCTAGCAAAATTTAAACTGAAAACTTTCATGAATTCATCTGCCATTGAATGATCGTTGCTTTTGCTGCAACTTTTGTTCACCTTTTAACTTTTCCTTTTATTTGATTTCTTACTTCTATTTGTGCAGTTTAAATAGGATTTTAAAATCTGCAGTTTTTTGTGTTCATGTTGATTTCAAAATTTGATATTTTATGTTTCCACTGTTCTCTTTCACCTGAAAATCACATTGACTTGCTTCTGTATATGAAATGTGCAGTATGAATAAAGTGGCCTTGCCTCTTAACTTGACGTAAATAACTTTAGTTGTAATTTTTATTTTGAAAATTCAAGAACTTGTAGACAAAACATCTACCCACTGTTCTAACTAATATTTGTATTGCTTTATTCTACTATGAACATGTGTTTCAGTACACTGGTAATAATATGAAATAAACCAGACTGTGAATTGTACTTAATGATTTTCTATTAAACCATATCTCACATTTTCGCTATTTGTCTTGATTTGTTAATTATTTCAACTTTTTTTTCCTGTACTTTCAAAGTCTTCCATCCTGTGTCACTGTTGTTACACCAGCCAAATATATACACTATGTACTAATTACAACACATGTGCAGTGAGTCTTTAATTTTATTTTACACTAAACGTTAAACTAAATCAATATATTCACATCGTTATTTGCATATTTCTCAAAAGAATAGTAACAGGTGCTGTAATCATGATTTTACTGATACTGCTGCGTTTTATAAGCTGATTATAATCACTGTGTTTCCCCGTGTATTTATGTTGTATTTATGTAATCTGTGGGATTTTCATGACTCCCTGGCTTTCACCTGTAATAAAAGATGTGACACTCACACATTCCCTCTGAACAGTGTTTGGCTTTAAGTGCAACTCTGTGTGATGCCGATTTCTGCAGCTTTGTGTGTTGAAACACCAGATCATGAATTTAAAGTACGTAAACACATAAACACATTTTTATGAATTCATCAAATTCATCTCAGCAGCAATCAATAAGAGTTTAATTTCTTATTTATTTATTTTTGCAAATTAGTAACTTGAAGTCTATTATCAACTTTTGTATTTCTCAAATGTTTGCATTTTTTAAATCCTTAATAGGGAAAATTAAAAACTAAATGTCTGCCCTGGATTTTAGAGTGAAAATGCTGCAGAATTCGGTTCCCTTTGAATTGCAGTACATAACCTCTTCTGAAAATACTGGTCATGCTAAAGAATTTTCAGACACTGTTTTTGCTCTGCTATAACACAACACCATTAACATTTTCTAATATGTATCGTTTACCCACACTCAGTGAGATACTGAGTTTAAACAAATTAATGAAATGAGATCTGGACACCATTTTATTTTTTTATTACTTATTATTTTACTTATTATTTTTTTATTACTTTGTTTTCTGCATGTATATTTTTCCAACACCAGCAGTCCAGGAGATGGTGCTGTTCTCCAAAACATCTGATAAAATAAACAGTTTGAAACTTGGAAAGAAAAACTGAGGTCTTCAACTCAGAGGTGTATGTGGTGGTTGTGTTGAGAATTAGATACATAAAACAAGCTTGAAATAAAAAGAGATGAACCAAACACGGGGTGGAGGATGCCATCATCTACCTGCAGCTCCTGCTGAGTCACCTCCTGAAGCACTGTGAGAATCACGCTTTTTGACATCTCAAGTGCCTTCAACACCATTCAACCATCTTTACTATATCAGAAGATGAGAGGTACAGAAGTGGACGACATCTGACTGCATGGACCATAACTACCTCACCAACAGGCCATGTGAGGCTGCACAACTGTACATCTGAATTGGTTGTGTGCAGTGCTGGAGCTCCACCAGGTACAGTGCTCTCACCCTTTCTATTCAACTTCTACATCTCGGACTTCACCTACAACACCAGCAGCTGTCACCTCCAGAAGTTCTCAGATGGCTTGGTCATCGGCTGTGTGTCTGAGAGGAATGACCTGGAGTACAGGTCAGTCATCACGGTCTTTGTGAACTGGTGTGAGCGTTCCTGCCGAGATTTGCATGCTCTGTTGTGGGAAGGTGCATTTCTCAATACAGCCGCGTGTTGACGATGTAAAAATTAGAAATTTTAGTAACAAGGCTGCTTTTTAATACATTTGTACATGTTTCTCATTCGTGTGCTTTCTTACAAAATGTTGGTTTATGGGAAGATTAATAAAAGAAATAATGGGACATTATTCATCAGTGGGCAGATTGGTGGAGGAGTACTTAAAAAACCTCCTCAATCTCACCGGCACATCTTCCAGTGAGGAAGCAGAGTCTGGGGACTTAGGTTGGGCTCTCCAGTCTCTGGAGCCGAGGTCACTGAGGTGGTCCTAAATCTCCTCTGTGGCAAGGCCCCAGGGGTGGATGAGATCCGCCCAGAGTTCCTCAAAGGCACTCTTGGCAGTTGTGCTTGCTTTTAACACCCCCTGGTGTCCGTTATTAATTCTGTGTGGTTAAACCAAAAACGGAACTATCTTCTTGCTGTGCATTAGTCTTTTTAACACCTTAATCTAACTGCTGAAACGACTCCCCAGTCTTTATAGTGTCTACTGAAGTGGCTATTTTACACAGAAAATGTACCGCATGGTGTGTTCCAACTACAAGGGGAATCACTCTTCTGAACCTCTCTGGTCCATTCAGGGATTGTCGGAATGTGGTTTTCGTCCACATCACTGAGCTATCTCTATACCCTTAGGGAGGTCCTGGAGGATGCGTGGGAGTTTGCCCAATCAATATACATGTGTTTTGTGCATTTGGAGAAGGCGTTGGGGGCTCTATGGGGGGACCTGTGGGGGTACTCCAGGAGCATGGGGTATCAGGCCCTCTGATACGGGCTGTTAAGGCACTTCCACATCTGGGTCAGGAAGGTCGGGGCATCACTCTTAGCTTGTAAGGGCGTTGTTTTGTTCCCGTTATGGTTCCCATATGGTTCCCTTCACTGGAATGCGGAAATCCCTGAGCATGTGGGCGGTGCCATAGATGAGCGGAAAAGTCTGTGGTGTCCTCCTTAATAAGATAAACAAAGGCGGGTGTGAGCTGTGTTGCTTTTGGAAACTGAACCACATTATTTTAATTAATTGCTCCCTGTTCTTTTACCGATACTGCTGTGTGCGTCCGCATAACACTGTCCTCTGCTGCTGTGGCTGAAGTTAAAAGTAAACAAAGGCAACTATGAGCTGTGGTGCTCACGACCAATCCTCCCTGCTCCCTCATCGGGAGCTCTGTGCCACAGACAGAGAGATGTTTACTCTTCGACATCCTGAACAATAATGAATTCTGTATGCGGGAAGCCCCCGCTAGCCCCCACCGATTTAATTTTCTGGCAAATCTGAGTCAGTTGGCTGGGATGAGAGTCAGCTCCTCTAAATCTGAAACCATGGTCCTGAGTCGGAAAAGGGTAGAATGTCTTCTCCTGGTCAAAGATGAGGTCCTGCCTCAAGTGGAGGATTTTAATTTTCTCGGGGTCTGGTTCATGAGTGAGGGACAGATGGAGCGCAAGATCTATAGGCAGATTGGTGCTGCATGTGCAGTAATGTGGGTGTTGTACCGGTCTGTTGCGGTGAAGAGAGAGATGAGCCAGAGGCTAGAGCTCTCGATTTACCAGTTGTTCTATGATCCTACCCTCACCTATGGTCAGGTGCTTTGGGTAGTGACCGAAAGAACGAGATCGCGGATACAAGCGGTCAGAATGAGTTTTCTCTGCAGGGTGTCTGGGCTCTACTTTAGAGATAGGGTGAGAAGCTCGGTCATCCGGGAGGAGCTTGGAGTAGATACGCTGCTTCTCCACATTGAGGGGAGCCCGTTTAGGTGGTTTGGGCATCTGATTGAGAGGCCTCCTGGATGCCTCTCAGGTGAGGTTTTCCGGGCATGTCCAACTAGGAAGAGACCTAAGGGAAGACCCAGGACACGTTGGAAGGACTATGCTTCTCAGACAAGGGCAAGACGGAATTACATTTGTGAAGTTATAAAAGCTATTCAGAAGAAACACTTCCTATAAATTCTGTCAAAATACCATGCAGAACTTCAAAATTTCAAGGACCTGTATTATGTTATTTTGCACCTTCCAGAGCAAAGATAGGCACAATATCTGATTAAGTATTATTGTTGGCACTATTGAAGTGTCAACTTTTGTTAAATATAAATTAATAAGAGGCTTGTATTTGGTGAAACCTTACCTACCTTTGTGTGAAATCCACCAGAGTACATGCTGACACGCCTCACTCAGCAAATGCCAAGTTATTTCTGCTTGGAATTATGATGAATAAGTTTTAATATCATCCTGCTTGCTTAAAAAACATTGACAATTACCATAATTGGTTGATTAAAGACAGATTTAGCCAAATACTAAACTAATTTTTACTTCTAATTCATAGACAATTAGTTATAAGTAAGTTTTGGGGCCATGGTAGATAGAAGACTTTACATCTCCCAGTCATGGTTTTGGTCATGTATACTGCAGATTTAAGGCCAAACTTCTACAATTTTCTCACTGGCAGACAAAATAGTTAAAATAGACAAAATAGACCACAAAAAGCTATCTCCCAATTGGCTGCTGAAAGGGCAAGGAACACTGCAATGAACATCATAGCAGAATATATATATATATATATATATATATATATATATATATATATATATATATATATATATATATATATATATATATATATATATATATATATATATATATATATATATACAGGTGCTGGCCAGTAAATTAGAATATCATCAAAAGGTTGAAAATATTTCAGTAATTCCATTCAAAACGTGAAACTTGTACATTATATTCATGCAATGCACACAGACCAATGTATTTCCAATGTTCATTACATTTAAATTTGATATTCATAAGTGACAACTAATGAAAACTCCAAATTTGGTATCTCAAAAAATTAGAATATTCTGAAAAGGCTGAATATAGAAGACACCTGCTGCCACTCTAATCAGCTGATTTACTCAAAACACCTGCAAAGGCCTTTAAAAGGTCCCTCAGTCTTGTTTTGAAGGCCCCACAATCATGGGGAAGACTTCTGACTTAACAGCTGTCCAAAAGACAATCATTGACACCTTGCACAAGGAGGGCAAGACACAAAAGGTGATTGCTAAAGAAGCTGGCTGTTCGCAGAGCTCTGTGTCCAAGCACATTAACAGACAGGCGAAGGGACGGAAAAAATGTGGTAGAAAAAAGTGTACAAGCTCTAGGGATAACCGCACCCTGCAGAGAATTGTGACGACAAACCCATTCAAAAATGTGGGGGAGATCCACAAAGAGTGGACTGCAGCTGGAGTCAGCGCTTCAAGAACCACCACGAGGAGACTCATGAAAGACATGGGATTCAGGTGTCGCATTCCGTGTGTCAAGCCACTCTTGAACAAGAAACAGCGCAAGAAGCGTCTCGCCTGGGCCAAGGACAAAAAGGACTGGACTGATGCTGAGTGGTCCAAAGTTATGTTTTCTGATGAAAGCAAGTTCTGCATTTCCTTTGGAAATCAAGGACCCAGAGTCTGGAGGAAGAGCGGAGAAGCACAGAATCCACGTTGCATGAGGTCCAGTGTAAAGTTTCCACCGTCAGTGATGGTGTGGGGTGCCATGTCATCTGCCGGTGTTGGCCCACTCTGTTTCCTGAGGTCCAGGGTCAATGCAGCCGTCTACCAGGAAGTTTTAGAGCACTTCATGCTTCCTGCTGCTGACCAACTTTATGGGGATGCAGACTTCACCTTTCAACAGGACTTGGCACCTGCACACAGTGCCAAAACCACCAGCACCTGGTTCAAGGACCATGGTATCCCTGTCCTTGATTGGCCAGCAAACTCGCCTGACCTTAACCCCATAGAAAATCTATGGGGTATTGTGAAGCGGAGGATGCAATACGCTAGACCCAAAAATGCAGAGGAGCTGAAGACGACTATCAGAGCAACCTGGGCTCTCATAACACCTGAGCAGTGCCACAGACTGATCGAGTCCATGCCACGCCGCATTACTGCAGTTATTGAGGCAAAAGGAGCCCCGACTAAGTATTGAGTGCTATACATGCACATTCTTTTCATGTTCATTCTTTTCAGTTGGCCAACATTAGAGAAACAAACATTTTTTCATTGGCCTTTAGAATATTCTAATTTTCTGAGATACCAGATTTGATGTTTTCATTGGTTGTCACCTATAAATATCAAAATTAAACGTAATAAACATCGGAAATACATTGGTCTGTGTGCATTGCATGAATATAATGTACAAGTTTCACGTTTTGAATGGAATTACTGAAATATTTTCAACCTTTTGATGATATTCTAATTTACTGGCCAGCACCTGTATATATACACACACACACACACACACACACACACATATATATATATATATATATATATATATATATAGCATATAAATTCATGAATGTATTTAGCCCTGGAAAGCCTAAAGAAATTTTACACTATGGTGGACAATAAAGTTTTATTCTATTCTATTCTATTCTATTCTATTGGAAGAGTACAATGTATTGTACATTGTATGTATTGTATGTTGAAATGTGTTGCCAAAAACCCTCCGAATGTCTAAAATTGTTTCATTTAATTACAAGAAAACTTGGATAGTCTCGATCAAAGAGTCGTTAGTTTGCCAGAAAAAATATAAATGTAATTGAATAAATGCACTACATTAAAATTGGGACATTCTCCTACATTGTAAAGTCAGGACCTTACAGGAAAATACACCCTTATCATGAAAAAGACGTTGCTTTTCTTTATTTCTTTTAGCGTGAAGAATGTTTGGCGTGTTAGCGTGTGTGTTCAGGAAATTGCTTTCATCACTTTATGAGGCTTGAGAGCTCTGTGACAGCCCTCTGTTTGAATAACAGTGACTTTTATTTTGAAATGCAATACCGGAAGTTATACAGTTTCCCCTAATTGACATATTGACCACATTCATGGCTGTGCATACAGGTGTGTTGGACTTGAATTCCCTCCTCGAACCTCCAGAATCCCGTCTGCGCATCTTGAAGGTGAGATTTAGTCCAGGTTTCATATTTTATTTTGATGGTGACAGAGAGAGAGAGGCGCGTTCGCAGCAGCGCAGCTTGGCGGTGCGCTGCACTCTGCAAACCGAACTGGAGCATCCATTCACACACGCACGCGCGCGCACACACACACGGACACGTATCTCACCAACAAGCTGATGACTACAAGAACACAACGACGACTCGATCTTCTCTAGTGCATCCCTGGGGCTTCATGAGCGTTTTCTAGACGGAATCACAGGCAGGTCCGTTTTCTGATTTGCACCTTTTTTCAAATTTCTCTCCTCGTTTGATTCGGAGCCAGTGAGATGCAGCTTTCTACCAGACAGATGTGCGGTAACACAGCCTACAGGTCTGTATCAGGATCCAAGTAATTCGTGCATAACAAAAATATTTTTATTCTGCCTGTTATTTATCTGAAACAGCGTTTGCTGATCATTTTGTATAGGACGTGTGAACGATGGTATGGTACATTTATGGTAGCATTTAGCTGTGCTTGCACACTGTCCATACTCACATCTGATGGCAGGTATTTGTGCTGACAAAATAGCCCAGAGTCTCGGATCAGATCAGCCTTAAGATCCAGAGACCACTGGGCTGCAGTGAGAACAGATGCTGTAATTGTGTTCCTAACTACTCATTGGACAGATAACAACTTTCCTTATCTGTTTTTATTGTAACAGTGATTGCCTCCTGTCTACCGGCTGCAGATTTGCTGTGTTTGGCTGTTTGGGACTGAGACTTCTGCAGCTGCAATCCTCACCATCAACATCTGTAACTTCACACCCGATCAGGAACGAGGACAGAGGCTGCCTTTAGTTTGATCAAAGGGACACCTGTCAGGAAGTACCTGCGTAGGATGACTCCAAGTGAGCTGCTTTCTTGAAAGCAGCATGAGATAAACTGAGGATTTCTGGATAAATCCCTGATTCAACTTTCTTTTACTGTTTGGAGGCTGATCAAAAAAATGTCCCAGTGTGTCAGTTGACTGACAGAGTCACAGTGGTGTTCTCAAACGGGACGTAGCCAGCAGCTCAGGCCCACACCACAGAAGAGATGGCTCGCCCAGGATCAGGCTTGCTGGTGCCCAAGAACGGGGTGGGTTACCCCCCTCAGAACCTGGCCAGGGTGGTGGTCTGGGAGTGGCTGAACGAGCATGGACGCTGGAGGCCGTACAGTGCAGCGGTCTGCCACCATATTGAGAATGTGCTGAAGGGGGACGCCCGAGGGAGTGTTGTTCTGGGGCAGGTGGATGCCCAGCTCTCTCCTTACATCATTGACCTGCAGTCCATGCACCAGTTTCGACAAGACACAGGTAAGACGTGTGGGATCCTCTAGTTTTCAGGTGGAGCTGTAACAAAGTGTCTGTGAAGTCAGTGGTTCTACATCTGAAATGTGTCAGTATCTGCTTCTGTTTGAACCAGAGCCCACTTTACTTTTCCTCCTGCTGCGATGATCCCGTGTCACGTTTAATGGAATAAAGTCGCAGTGGTTCTCATGCAAATGGGCCACAGGTAGAGCGAAGCGGCCTACAGCCACTCAGCACAAAGCATACTACTAATTAAAGTGCATTCATCATCAGTTTGTTCTGGAGCATCCTCATGCAGCGGCTGGTTTGGAGTGACCTTGGCAGAGGTCAGCGTGTGCAAGCGGCCCACCCGTCTCCGTGTTCAGTTACTCATTTGGTCGTAAACTTAGGCTGGTGAATCTGTGATCTGACACAGGTAGTCTATAAGATCTGCTTCTGCTGCGTTTGTGTGGTTTTTCACATTCTGGATCTATAAAAACTGCTTTTAAAGGTTTAAAGGTGTTTTGTTTTTGTTTGTTTATGAAATCCGATCTGATATGTTTTCCTCTGCTTTGGTGTCCCAGTATTTAAAGCTCAAACACAAAATGGCATCTCCTAAGTCCTGTTTTGTTAAATGGGGATGCTACATTTGAATTAAAACAAAACAAAGTTATTTAGTATTGAGATATTCTGACATAGAGGAAAGAAAATCACACTTTTCAGCTTATGACCGGGTTTCTATTGTACTTCTAGTAATTATGTAACATGGTCACATGGTTCAGACTGATCCATATGGGATTTGCAGAAGGTGACCTCACAGAGCATGGATCTGCACCATGTCACCTTTCCTTAATTTGTCGTGGTCAATTTGCATGTGCATTACTCAAGAATAAGACAAAAATAATTCTGAAAGGTCTTCAGACTTTCTGCTTGGCTGATAAATGCCTGATTATTATTATTATTATTATTATTATTATTATTATTATTATTATTATTATTATTATTATTATTATGAGAATAATGTATTTTTCTGTAAGTAAAGTAAATCCTGTCCTGTTACAATGGAGTCATTTTTTTCCACAAAAGGTTATAGAATTTGGATTAGAGAACATTAAAAGTAAATAATGAATAAGTAATTGTATGTACAAGTTATAAAAGTATAGAGATTCAAATAAACCGCTTTTGTTTCTTCAGTTTTTTCCTTGAAAGAAACTTTAAGTTGAAAATTAAATTTCCAGCTTTAATAAACATTAATTTTAACATTAAGTGATTTCTGTATAAAATATTTCTAACTCCTAAGTGCTTCAGTAAATAATGAAAATTATTTCTTTCTGCCTGAAAAAGTCTGTTCTTGTTTTGTAACATTATTGGTTACAACTTATTTTGCAGACAAAAACAATTTTCTATGCAGCTACGTGTTTTTTTTGTTTGTTTGTTTGTTTGTTTGTTTGTTTTACATCATCTTCGTTGGCAGTATTGCCTGAAAACCTTTTATTTGACATCCACCGCCTTAATCCACATAGCACCTCTGCTGCCCCCTCTCCCAAAGCTGAAGCCTACAGGCTGCATTGCTGTAGCGTGGGACTAATTGATCATGCAACATAATAAAAATTAATCAGAGCTGTATAAGAACTGAGAGTTAGTTTCGACTCACACAAGTAGAATAAGTGCAAATCTAGACTGAAGGTCCAAAAAGTGAAGCAGCTTTTCTCTAATCTTAATTTGTTCTTGTCTTCTTGCTTCCAGAGTACTTAAATTGAAAGTTTTTATGAATATAAATGGTAGCTTAATATAAATATATACCTGCATAGAAGGCACAGCCGGATTTTTCTATGGGCATCCCAAAAGCTTAGCTGTGGTGCGTTCAATGAACTGGAAGAATAGTTTCTGTGAGTGTTGGACCAGTTAAAGCAGCTGGTGCATTCCTAAACCACACGATGAGGCATCTGAAGGGTTATTAAAGATCAGGATCTTTTTTAAATTCTTCATTAAGAGACAGTTTTCTTCCCACCCAGTTGGGTCATACACAGCTGTGTTCCTGCTCTTTCTCCTGGTGTTTTACCCTAGAAGCCTAGACAGGCAGTAACAGAAGCAAAATCCTGTTGGTCTATGCTCCACAGGAGCCTCAGGTAGCTTAAACAGTCTTGTGCCTTGCCAATCACAGCGCTCCATCAGTTTGGTGGGTGGGATGATGCCATGGAGCAGAACCACTAAGACTGCGTCGGCTCGTTTAAAACAGCTTTGGCAATAATTCTAGATTATTTAGAGTTGTGATTTTCTTTGAGTCAAGAGCAGATAGAGGTACTTACGTCTTTTTATTTAGAAAAAGGATGTATTTGCATCTTCTTTGATGGTATATGGCGAACTGCCTCGTTGACTGACATCCGTGAGTATGTCACGTTGTTCACTGTCCAGTAGCACGTGGAGACAGTTTGAAAGGCAACCGTAGATTCTCCCCCATGACTGAGCTCTGTCTATGGGTCGTGGCTAGACTATATATTCATATATATAGGATGGCTTTCTAAGCCAGATTTACCCTCTGACTGAACAGAATGCAGAGCATCACATGTCTGGGCTGGCTGTGCGATGAGCCACTGAGCTCTTCATCAGCCCGAGGAGCAGGGCCTGACGTTTATCGCTCCTCTTTGTGCCTTTTCAGTGTGCTGCTTTCAGTCCATGTGGGATTAAGCTGTCACAGTGTGGCCTGATAGACAACAGTCTGGACTCCAGCTGTCTCCTCCCCTCTGCTCATCTTCTACAGCCTGATCCTGTTCCTAAACTCGTGCAACCTTCATCCAAGTCTTCATCAAGTGATTGACTGAAACTCAAACGTGGGCTAGATTCCAGGTTTTTGCGAACTTGTGTTTACACAGATTTCAGTGAGTTTGAGTAATAGCTAGTAAAGTGTTCATTTCGTTTTGGTGTTTGCTGCATTTGTAGCACAGGGCTGCCGGAAAACGGAGTGTCCCTGTGGGGAAAGCCCTCGCGGTTTGCGGATTCCGTGATCTCATCCTCCAAGGCCGTTTTTAGCTAATGCTGGTAGGGGAGAGGCTGCCCTCCATTTACGTTTGTGAAGATGACGTCCTATGGATGTGAGTGAGTTTATTCCAGTGTGTGTGTGTGTGTGTGTGTCTCCTGGCAGCCGCCGTATTTTTCTCCCATCCCTGTGGGTTGTGTGGGAGCATCCTGCTCGCCTGTGGGTTTGGGAGGATCTCCTGTGGGTCATAACCAGGCAGAGTTACTCTGTCTAATGAAACGGCAGCTCCCTGTAATCAGAGCATCATGACAACAACTCAAACACCACAGATGATGCAGCAGGGCCCGTGTCTTTCTGTAAACACATCTGGATTTAATTAGCATTAGAATTCCACAATGCAGGGTCCACATCCCAGTCCAGCTGCTGGAAATGTTTCCTGGTTTTGCGATTGTGAATATCTGGCCGAAGGCCAATGAGAATTGATCTGTTCTCCTCCCCAGATGCACATTTAAACCTCTAAACACTGCTTTGGACAAATTCTCTTTTCACCAGACACTCCCTTAGTAAAACAGGCCCGTCTGTTGGATGTCACACTGCAGACGATGATTCGGCTGCCTGGCTTTGAAACACATACATTTTCAATATTTTCCACAATGTTGGAGATAACGGTTCATCTGCATTATTCAGGTATGGTGCGATATTTTACTAAGAAAGGACATTAACTTTGTTAAAGGCAGAAATTAAATAACACAGCAGCAAACCTCTCTCTTTAAATTCCAACTAATTAAAATCTCTTTCTGCTATTTTTGTGTGTGTGTGTGTGTGTGTGTGTGTGTGTGTGTGTGTGTGTGTTTTAGGTAGTTGCACAACAAAATACGTGTGGTTAGTTTTGCAAAGACACTACGGCTGCACACAGGCGGCCTGTGTGTGACTGCACAGATTAACCCTTGATCAGCTGCCATGTTGCCAAAGCAGAGGCTTTGTTTGTTTTGGTTCCAGAGGCATGATAATCCTCCTCTCCTCTGGATTATTTCCCTCAGCAAACTGCCCTCTGTGACTAATTACAGCCAAAGACAAAGACCTGAAGTGCTGTGTGTTGAGCTGACGAACAGTAGTCGGTGTTTCCGTGCTACGTGTGAGCTCGCTGAGTGTAACACTGCAGGTTGTTGGAGAGGGCTTTGTTTTCTTTAATCTTGTTCAGAAAGGAGCATGTGTGGGAACTGCTTTGGTGGTTTGTGGGAGGAAGTCGAGAGAAGGAGTTTTGTTCCGTACGTGAGAAAGGTCAGGTGCTGTGCACACCAGCTTCTGCTGTGAAATCCCATCTGCATCAGAATAAAGTGAAAATGAGCCGAGAGCGGAGCCCGGAGACTTCACGCTTCTCTAGTGAGAAAGGATGTAAAGAAACCTCTGGAAATAGAAGCGCACCGGAGCGGTTTCTGTTGGGTGGGATTGGAGCATATTTGCTGTTGTTTTCAAAAAGTTTGGTGCATGAATCATTACTGTGATGTTGGCTGGCACAAGGTCTCCTGAAGCACAATCTACCTCGATATAAAGGCTTCTTTTGGCTTAGACACCGAAGTACTCTGATTACTCAGAGGAGAGTCATTATGGATTTGAAGACTTTATAACCCTCCACAAAAAAACCTGACAGGTGTGTTTGGGTGTTTTATCTGTGTGTGTGTGTGTGTGTGTGTGTGTGTGTGTGTGTGTGTGTGTGTGTGTGTGTGTGTGTGTGTGTGCGTGCGTGTGCGCGTGCGCGTGCGTGCGTGCGCGTGTGTGTGTGTGTGTTCAGTTGCAAAGTATTTCATGACTTAATTGACTAATTTTAGCAAAACTCTTTAAAAGTCTTTAGCCAATGTCCAAACCCAGGGCCTTCATCCTTCTGAGTACACAGTCTAAGGCCGATGACATCACAGTGAAGCTGTCCAAAATCACAACAGCTCACTTCTGGTTGTTGCAGGACCCAACCTATGTGGACCGGGTAGGACACGTGCTTACAAGGATGCTACCCTTGGAAGTGGACTCACTCTTTATTGGATGTTCCGTTAAC